GGGAGGTTGAGGCGGGAGAATCTCAAGTTCAAGGACAGCAAGGGCAACTTTAAAATGTTGCCATTTAATCTCCTATCACATAAGACTAGGCTATGGAACACATGGCCTTAACATAAGAATTTTTTAAAAATAGTTTTATTGTTTAACTACTCAAATAATTCTATGTTGTTGTAGAGAGGTAGAAAATATAAATAAGAAAAATGAAGATAAAAATAATACATCTTACCACTGAAATTTAAAAGATAAAGATGTAGCCTTATATAGTGTGCCTGATTATCTTTGTCTTTTGCCATATATCATTCACTTATTTATTTATCTATATTCATATATATATATATATATATATATATAGACATCTGTTTGTTTCAGACAACATTGTATATGTTTCAGACAAAAATTGGTTCATGCTGTGTATTTTATTTTGTAAACTGCTTTAGACATTCAACAGCAAATTGCAGGAATCTTACATCAATAGATACACATTTACAACAATGCATTTTAATAGCTTCACTGGTTTTATAATGTATTTATAAGAGAATTTATTTAACCAGACCCATAAAAAATGGAAAAATTGGATCAAAGGGTGCTTTAAAAGTGCTTTAAAGATTTTCACATAGCTTGCCATATCAGAGGGAGAGGACTTTAAAATTCCTGGTTACCAGTGCTGCGTCCCAGTGTCATGCTGAGCCCTGTTGAAGCCTGAGACAAAAGAAAACCGTGCGACACAATGTATATCAATCGAAGTATTACCCCATAGTTTGAACCAAGTGGGAAAGTTATAAAAGCTCTACATTCAAAAGCAAAACTATATATAAAATCCTGTGTTGCTCAATCTATTGACATGCCACTGTCAATGCCCACAACTCTGCCAGCTGATGGACACAGGGCTGCATTACTTTGCCAGGCCCTGGAAATGGAGGCTGACTGGAAAGGACTGGTCCCATTACACAATAAAGCAGAAAAAGAAAAAAAAAAACAAAAACCAAAAAACAGACAACAAATGATCTTCATTTTAAAAAGTTTTCTAATAGGGTCTTTTCGCATTGATTTTGATTTTGAAAACATTGCATTCAAATACTATCTTGATTACTAACTTTTTTGGTATAACCTTCAATTTTGCACTTGAGGCAAGTGTTTCTCTTGCTTCCTCTTAATCCTACTCCAGCTGCTTGTGAAAGAAACGCCAGAATCATTGGTTTTCAGATGTCAAGGTTTTGATAGGGTTTGATGTCCCCCTAGTGTCCATTGTGCTTAAAGACTCATTCTCCAGGGTGGTGATGTTGAAAGTTGGGTCTAGTAAAAGTTTCAGGGGTGAAAGGCAGTTCCCATGGAATCCCTTGGTAGTTCTCAATTGGTCCTTTGATTTCTATTGTTATGAAGGGATCAAGTCTGGTCCCACCCAGCTCTCTGCTCCTTGTTAAAGATGTGGTCATTTACTCCTCCTACATGGGTTTCCATCATTGCTATATGCACCATGAGGTGATGCAGTCACCCATGATGTATATAGATCAGTACTGTGTCCTTTGAACTTTCAGCTCCACAAACTGTTATCTAAATAAGCCTCTCTTTACCTCATAGTAACCTATTTGTGATAGAGATGAAAAGCTGACTCGACAAACATTTTTTTGATAGTTTTTAGGCAGCTGCGATTATGTGAGGTCTTGGTGATACCAAGAATTATAGAGCTTGAGATTGAATGAGGATATCAGAATCTGGGAATTATATTGCTAATATCCCTAGAAAGTTAAAAGGATGAAAGTAAGAAGTTTCCCTGCTTTCTAGAGAAGGTATTGCTACGGAATGAGTGTTCATCCCCTGGTAATTCATATGGTGATGCCTGATTCCAAAATGAGGGTATTGGGCCTTTGGAAGGTAATGAGGTCAGGAGGGTGGAGCCTTTGGGATAGGATTAGCGCTCTTGTTAAAAGAGATGTGCCTCCTATCTGCTTTCTGCCAAGTTAGAAGTCAGAAGGTAGATTCTGAAACTTGTAAAAGAAGCTTCAACAGAACCTGACCATGCTGGCACCCAGATGGCAGGCTTCCAGCCTTCAGAAGTGTAAAAAGCATATTTCTGTACTCATTTGCAGTCCCACCAACAATGTGTAAATGCACCTTTTTTCCTACTTCCTCACCAGCATTTATTATTATTTGTATTCTTGATAATTGCCATTCTAACAGGAGTGAGATCAGATCTCAATGTAGTTCTGATTTGCATTTCCCTGGTTGCTAGAGATGTGGAACAGTTTTTTCCGGTGTTTTCTGGCTATTTGCATTTTTTCTTTTTGTGAAATCTATGTTTAGTTCTTTTACCCATGTATTACTTGGGTTTTTGGTTTTATTTTATTTATTTATTTTAGTTTTTCATATATTCTGGGTATTATATTAATTCCCTATCTGAGCAGCAGTTGGCCAGGATCTTCCATTCTCTAGGTTCTATCTTCATACACTTGTTTCATTTGCTGTGCAGAAGCTTTTAAATTGGATGCTTATTGATTGGATCCTCTTATTGATTCTTAGTTTTATTTCTTGTGCTATAAAAGTCACCATAAGGAAGTGGGTGTCTGTGCTAATATCTTGGAGTGTTGAGCCTATATTTTCTTCTAGAAGTTACATAGTTTCTGGTCTAATTTCTAGGTCTTTGCTCCACTTTGAGTTGACTTTTGTGCAGTTGAGAGAGATATAGATCAAGTTTCATTCTTCTACATATTGATATCCAGTTCTCCCAGCATCATTTATTTAAAAGGCTATCTTTTCTTCAATGTATGTTTTTGGCTCTGAAAAGCAGTAGGGAGATTCCTCAAAAACCACTAGGAATGCAACCACCATATGACCCAGCTCCATCTATCTCATTCCTTGGGATGTATACAAAAGATCTAAATTCAACATACTATAGGGATACAGCAAAATTCACAATAGACAATGTGAATGTCCCATCAACAGATGAATGGATAAAGAAAACATTATATGTGTGTGTATACACACACACACACACACACACACACACATACACAAAGGAATTTTACTTGGTCATAAAGAACAATGAAATTATGGCATGTCCTAGCAAATGAATGGAAGTGGAGAGCACCATGCTAAGTGAAATAAGCCAAATCCAGAAAGTCAAGGGTCAAATGTTTTCTCTCACTTGTGGAAGCTAGACCAAAATAAGGGGGAAAATAAGTGGGACTTGCAGGGGATAGGGATAGCTCATGAAAATAGAAGAGAGATCAATGAAGTAAAAAAGAGGATTGAGAGAGAATTAGGAGAGATGGGTATTATGGTTTAGGTATGAGATATCCCACAAAAGCTCATGTGTGAAACAATGAAAGAAAGTTTAGAGGTGAAACAATTTGGTTTGAGAACCATAATTAGACCAATAATCAAACCATTAATCTCCTGACAGGGATTAATTTGGTGGTAACTATAGACACATAGGGTATACCTGGAGGAGTCTGTCTCTGAGGGCAGGCCTTTGGGGTATATATTTTGTACCTGGTGAGCAGAACTCTCTCTCTGCTTCCCAATTCTTATGTCCTGAGCTGCCTTCCTACCCCATGCCCTTCTGCCTTGATGTACTACCTCACCTCATGACCAGAGCAATGGAGTTGGCTATCTAGGGACTGAGACCTCTGAAACTGTGAGCTGCAAATAAACTTTTCCTCCATTAAAATTGTTCTTGTTAGCTTTTTTGGTCACAGCAGTGAAAAATCTGATTTAAACAATGGGAAAAAGAAGGATTGGTGGAAAGAAAATAACCAAACTATCCTATGTACATATATGTATATACCACAGTAAATTTTACCACTCTTCTCTCATATATATGTATGTATATATATACGCACATATATAGTAAAATATATAAATATTATATATATCTATATATAATATGGCATTATTTTTACAAAATTAATATTTAATATATATAGCACTATTAAAAAAAAATAATAAGCTGGGCATGGTGGTGCATGCCTATAATCCCAGAGACTCAGGAGGCTGAGGCAGGAGGATTGCAAGTTCAAGACCAGCCTCAGCAATTTTGTGTGGCCCTAAGCAAAATAAAAAATAAAAAAGATTAAGGATGTGACTCGGTGTTTAAGCATCCCTGGGTTCAATTCCCAGCAACAAATAAACAAAAAACCCTGTAAATAAATAGAGCTAAGACTACTTATTTAGTATTTATATTTAGTAGAGTATAGGAAAGGGAATGGGGGAGGGAGAAAAAAGGGAAAGAGGAAGTATTGGGGATTGAACTGAAGCAAATTATATTCCAGACTTTCATAATTATTTTAAAACAAATGTCAATACTATGTATAACTATAAACCACTAATAAAAAAGAAGAAATATATTGCTGTTATGTATAAGCTGCTAAATCTATGGTACTTTTGTTATAGCAGCACAAACTGACTAAGAAAATAGAGACTATGAAACAACTGAATACAGGCAACTCAGAGTAGTTAGAAACTGGTTTGGACTGTGGAGGCATGAAGAATAAGTTCTTCCTAAGTGCTCTAAAAATAAATTACAAACAAGAACAACACAGGCATAACAAATCCAACCACCAATTTATGATGCCTGATAGTTATTTTACCACCAATCAGGGTTGCATTTGTCAGGGAAGAACTTGGTTATGAAACTGATCTTGGTCACTTGAAAAATCATGTTCCTGAAGAAGCTGATTAACTAGGGCCTCTTATAAATCTGAAGATTAGTAGGTATTGTGGAGGCTAAGTACTCATTAGCTCACCTTGAGAGCAAATTTATATTTAAGCTACAGATCAGAAGAAGACTGATATTTCATTTTGTACTGAGAAATAAAAAGATGACTGTGCGTCTTTCTGTCTATCTGTCTCTCTCTAAATAATATCAAAAGAAAAGCATGGGAGGAAAAATAATACTTAACATTATTTTTAACAGCCAGAATGTAAACAAAAGGAGGAACATTTATGTCTTTCTCTGTCTGTCTACCTCCCCCTACTCCCTTCCTCTTCTTCCTTTAGCAAAAAAATGAAGGAGACGAGGGAGTCTTGGTCTGGAGGCACTGGGGTCCGGGCTCCTTAAGCAAGGACAAACATGGAGATGCAGCCTGACAGAGGCAGCACCTGTGTACCACCTATAAGATTGGCAAAATTCGGTGAAATCTGTAACCATCTCTTCTACCTGGGGAGAGATCAGCAGCCTCCTACTTCATATCAGAGATCATCAATAGTGTTCTGCTGTGCTGCTCCCTTCTGACCTGCCTCTGGACACCCTGCTAGCTTACCCCTGTGCATCTCCTCTTCTCCTCCATGATGTAGTCAACCCTGTACGCTTAGAGGTCTCCTGCTAGACTTTAAAGTCCTCACGCATGAGAATTTTGTCCTGTATGGTTTTATAATCTAGTTACCTGTGAGCATCTGAAAATAGCAGGCATATCCCAGAAGAAATGCACAAATGAACAAATGAGCAAACAAACTTCTAATTCCTACCAACCTCTCTCCTTTTGTCTCCCTTTGACTTCACAAACTCCTATAGGAGTACCAAGATACAACTCAGGGCCTTTGGGAGAAGTTTTTCACTGAAAGTTCATAACTCTCACATATCACACCTGATGATGAACTTGGAGCAAGTGAATCTGATACATTTCATTCACTCCTACATGGCAGTCACAGTGGCTTTCTCACTGTCCTTGTTTGCTCTACTCCTGATGCACTGTGGGGCCTCCATGACTTCTTTTCACATTTGCACTTGCTGTTTCCTCTCCTTGGAAGGCCTTTCTTCCAATATCCACGTGGCGTTTTTCAGGTTGTTCCACAAATACTGCCTTCTCATTGAAGCCTTACATGCCCAACTCACTCAATATTTTCTCTCACCTTTTCCAGTGGAAGTATTTCAAATAGAATTAAGCCTTGTCTCCATTTACAATACTATACTTCTTACTCAATTATTTTATGTGCCTGTCTTCCATCCTTTTAATATAAGCTTCATGAAGGTAAGAACTTTCCTGTTTTGTTTGTGTCTCCAACTATTAAGGCATGGAATGCAGAGGATTTCAAGAAATAGCATCTGAATGAATTTTCCTCAAAAAATGCAACCACAAATTTCTTTTTTAATTTGATCTTTGAATTTGGCACACATTTTTTGATGTTCTCACTTTTAAAATTAGTTTCTCCCAACTATAGCCTTCATTCAGGGATCACATCCTTCTACATTTCTTAGCAGGAAACATCCTGCTTACCCACTCAACACCTTTTCCCATTCCTCTGATAAGAGGATTTTTTTGGGGGGTGCTGGGGATCAAACCCAGGGACTTGTGCATGTGAGGCAAGCACCCTACCAACTAAGCTATATCCCCAGCCCTGAGAATATTCTTATTCTATTTAGTTTTGATAAAGCTTATCTTAATTCTCCTTTCACCTGCAGGATAAAGCAGACCCAAGAACCATGCCTGGATAATTGGACCATCACATATCTTTGCTACAGTGATTGCATTAAGCATGGGCATATGATTTAAATCATGTCCTCACCTGGAGTTTTCTGACAGACCTGGCAGGAAAACAAAAATAAAAACCGAACTATTTCATCCTAGTAAATTTCTAAACAAATAAATGTGATTCTTCCACAAATAGGGGCTGTTTGCTTACCATGTGGAAACAAAGGGAAAAAGACAAAATCCTGGTAACACCCTTGGTCCTAAAGACTTAATGGTGCCTAAAGCAAGTATAGTTCTTTAGCTTTTTAGTTATATGTGTTAATATCATTTTTGATTAAGCTTGCTTAAATTGTGCTTAAATGATCCTTAACATTATAAGCCCCTTGTTTCAGCCCCAATACCCACACACTCTTGAATGGACCTCCTCTGTGTGATGTGCCTACTCACCTGGTCCTGGTTTCTTGACTCCTGGACAGGTTCACAGTGTGGCATATACATGATGTGTCTTTTTTGCCTTAATGTGTGTACATGTCATCACCAAGAGTGGTTAATAAAATTTTTTCAATATTTAGTCTACAACTGATGAGAGCATCGACAATCATTGTGTTCACAGAGGACAGAACATATAGTAACATATACTCAAGGTTCAAAATAAGATGAAATATTACCAATAACACAGTTTGGATTTTCAAACTTAGAGTGGAAATCATAAGGCACATTTAGTTTTAGAAGGACAGGATATGGAATACAAGGATATGTGCCTGTCTTCCATCCTTTTAATATAAGCTTCATGAAGGTAAGAACTTTCCTGTTTTGTTTGTGTCTCCAACTCTTAAGGCATGGAATGCAGAGGATTTCAAGAAATAGCATCTGAATGAATTTTCCTCAAAAAATGCAACCACAAAACACCTTAAAATCATAGGTGTTTTCTTAAAAAACATAACCTTAATTTATATCAGAAAAGCATATGGTATAAAAGTAATTATACATTTTAATGAACATGAATCATTTTTTATTAGAAAATTATGTTGAGCAAATATTTTAAAATATTTTCTCTGGATATGGCAGTGTTATGCTACAATATACTGGATTTAACAAATTGAAAATTAGTATGATTTTATTGCCTAGGATAGAAAATACTATCTATGTACATATATATATACGTATATAGGTGTGCATATTTATACATATATGGATATATATGTTTACTTTTTATATACATGGATATAATTTGATAAGATGTAGAAAAATTAGATAATAAATATGAAATTGAAAACAAAATTAAAACAAAAACACTAAAGCCTCACTTTAACATTAGTAGCACAGAATCCAGTGTCTTTTGTATCCATCCTGGATCCAAAGGAATTAGGAAACAGAAAGAGCTTATTTTGCCAGGATAGCTCTTAAAATCAAGATCATTAGCCAGGCTAAGTCTTCCCCTGGAAGGGTGCTTGGTTGTGTTCTTGAGCAGGCAGTCATAGTGTGTGTCCCTGTCCTGTGGCTGGCGCTTTCTAGTAGTCGGTGAGCTGGTTGGAACCATTGCATCAAGCTCTGTGCTGTTGAGTCCAAGTCCTCATCTGTACTGTCAAGTCATGACCAGGACAACCAATGGGCTCACTTCTTTATGCATACGCAATTTTTGTTTTATGGCTACTTCACAGGAGTCTAAAAGCTACTATAGGTTCAAGATGTCATCAGCTGGTTTCACAAAAATGTGTTACATGTTTGTATTGCTGTAGACAGGAGATAACAAAAGAAATGAGGCATGAAACAAGGCAGAACAAGGTCGTGATGGCTATGTAGAGGACTACACCGAGCTGGGGAAGCAAGCAAAGGTGAATCTCAACTCTCTAGCCATTAGGGAAGGCTTCCTAGAGGAGAAGAAATCAAGAAAACTTAGTCTTCAACGATATAGAAGAGTTCATCAGAGGAAGAAATATGAAAAAGATATTCCAGCTGCAGAGACCTAAGGACTCCAAAGAGCTAGGTTTGACTGGAAATGGCAGGAGGTCTGTATGTCCAGCAACTAGAATACTTACGTTCTCAGCTTTGTATATGGAGGAGGCTAGAAAAAAAAATTACAGATATCTGTAAATCATTTAGAAAACCAACTAAGGACTTTAGACTACTGCATACATAGCCAGTGGTGTTCAGGGACTCAACTGCTAGATATATCTGGGTTAAAATTCCAGGGGCTGGTAAACATGTATGGAAAATAAAATTTATGTCCATTTTTACTGATTTGCATGTAAAATTCAGCAATTCCTTCAATTACTGGTGTAGCTATCAAATCAGAAGTACTAGTAGTACCTGTGGTCACCCAAATAAATCAGGTGTTTTTGTTTCATATTAGAGTTATTGCAGATATCTAGAAATAATATTTGATATTTACTTCTCCAAAATTTTGGTACTTAGAAGATCTACTGCTGTTACCTTCTTATTTAATGGGTTCTTGAAGTCTTTCCCTGTGGTAATTGTTCTTCACATAAAAATTATTCATATTAGAACAAATATGAGAATAAATGCACATTTTGTGATTTAAAAAATCTTCTGAGAAGGATGATATGTTTTTTCTAATGTAAAAGAATTTGCAGTTCATAAAAGGTGAAGAATCCTAGTTAGAGATATTTTAGAGATTGGATGTGTGCATGAGGAGGAAAACTGTAATACAGTAGAGTACAAAGAAGCTGGGAAGATGGAGGCCTTCGTTAGCAGACTATAGTTAATTGTTTAACTGAGAGATGATGGGGGAAGAACAGTGTACTGGGAATAGAGCTCAAAGAAGAAAACTGGAAGAAGTAAGGAAAAGAAGAGGAGGCAGTGGACATAATAGTTGCCGATCCCTGAAGTGGGTGGGCATCTTTGTTCTAGGAAAAAGAAACACAGCAGTATGCTAAAAATTGGTGAGCTGAGGGCAGAGCAGGGCAGTGTGAACTATCAGGGCAGGAGGGGCCAGTCTTCTGGTCAATTGAAGCCCTGGTGAGATAATATATTATCCTAAAGGGACAAGGAAGACTCTTAAAAACTTTAAGCTAAGAAGGCAATGTCACTTGATGTGTCATGTATAAAGAGAAGAATGAAAGAATAAAGAAATGTAACTGGGAGGCCAACAGAAGGATGGTGGTGGAGACAGAAGGAAGAAGTTAAAAATGGGATGATGATTAATTCCATGTGTCAATTTGACTAGGCTACCATATGCAAATAATCAGTCTAACGTTATTCTAGGTGTGTCTGTGAGTGTTTTGGATAAGATTTACATTCAACTCCATGAACTATGAGTGAAGCAGATTGCCCTCTGCTATGGTTTAAATTAGTTTCCCCCCAGAGGGTTCACACATGGGGGCTTGGCCCTCAACATGGCCCTCTGAAGGAATTACATAGTTCTGTGGGACACCAGTTACAACCTGAGAGAATGAGTTGTCACAAAAGGGCGAAACTGGCCCTTCTTGGTTCTCTCTAGCTTCTTGAAGTCTTGCCATGTGCTCTCCTTTTTCACATGTGCCCCCACCATGGTGCTATTTGCTGTGCAGTCCTCTTCAGAGGTGAGTCATACCTTGGGTGTGGTCTTGGCCATACCATTGGTGTTCTTTCCATCTTTGCAACATGGCCAGGCTGAGAATTTTTTAAAAAAAATTAATTTCTGCTTCCCCTTCATTTATAAATTCTGTCTTAAAATTGTTTCTCCCTTCTTGAAATTTATTATAAGCAAGCAAGAGAAGCCATATCACACCCTGCATACTTTTTTCTAGACATTAAATAGTTTTCTTCCATCAAATATTCAGTTTTATCACACATAATCTCCACCTTCCCTAAAACACTAGGACACAAACAAAAATCAGGCAAGTTCTTCATCTTCAAAAAATATTGCTTTTCATCCAGTTTCCAGTAACATGTTCTTCATTTCAGTCTGAGATTTCCTTAGAATAACTTTTAATGTCTGCATTTAAACCAATATTCTGAATAATGACCATTTAGGTAATTGCTAAGAAGGCTTTTTCTACAGCTTTTCTCTTCTTCTGAGCCCTCACCAGAATATCCCTTTACAGTCTATTCATGGCAATATAGGTTTTCTCTTCCAGCATCTACCCATTACACAGTTCCATAATCACTTCCACATTTTTAGGTATTTTTTTATAGTAGTACCTGATGCCTGATCCCAATTTCTGTCCTAGTCCATTTGGACTGCTATAAGAAAATAAGTTAGGCAGGATAATTTCTAAATAGTAAAATTTCCTATATTCTACAATTTGAAAAATCTAAGATCAAGGTGCCAACAGATTTGATGTCTACTGAGGGCCCATTCTCATCAAAGGCAGTTTCTTGCTGCATCCTCACATAACAGAAGAGCAAACAAGATCTTTTAGACTTTTTTAAATCATTTTTTTAATTTTTAATTTTAATTTGTTGTATATGACAACAGAATGCATTACAATTTATATTATAATCTTTTAGACTTTTTATAAGAGCATTAATCCCATTCATATGGGTGGAGTCCTCATGACCTTATCATCTCTCAAAGGCCCAACCTGTTAATACCACTGCTCTGGGGATTAGTTCTCAACATATGAATTTTGTGGGTACACACATATTCAGACCATAGCAGATATGTTAATTTGGAGATTCCTATCATACGTTTAATTGGAGATGTCAGGTAGAAAGATGTTTTATGAATCTCACAAAAGAAAGATCGGAACTGGAGCTATGGAATTTGAGAGGCATCGATACACACATAGTATTTAAATTGACTTAAAGAACGGAGAGAAGAAAGGGCTCAGGACTTAACCCTGGGGGATTTCTACTGAGGAACCCCGAGGAAAACATAGAAGAAATAAAAAGAAAGAAAGAAGACCACAAATATGTGAAATTTTTGAGAAAAAGAGTTTTTCCAAAAGGAAGTAATGGTCAACTTTATGAAAATAAAATAAAACTCTACTTTATCGATGTATAGTTTACATGAAGTTAAGTGACCATATTTTAACTATCCTGTTCAGTATGTTTTACAAATGTATATATCCCTTTTGCAACCCTTATCACAGTTCAAGTGTAGAAAACTCCCATTACTCTCCAAGTTTTTTTCTCTTTTTACCCTTTCTCATATCTTTCTCAGATCTATTGGAGAAGACCTGTCTTTCTTCATTCTTTATTTGGATTCAGAACTGACACTGTTTATTCCATTTATTCCATTTCTCAAGACTCTCAAAAATCTTTTATGTTTGTCAGCTTTCTATCACTGGCACAAATACCTGAGATAAACAACTTAAAAGGAGGAAAAGCTTATTTTGGCTCACAGTTTCTAAGGTTTCAGTCCGTGAAACCTCTGTGGTGAAACAGAACAGCATGACAGAAAGTGCATGGTAGAGCTCAGCTGCTCACTTCATGGTGTCCAGGAGTCAAGGAGAGAGGAAGGGGCAAGGTTCCAACATTTCCTTCAAGTGCACCCCCAATGACCTAACTTCCTTCCACTAGGCCCTACTTCCTAAAGACTCCACAACCTCCAAATAGTGCAATAGGTTGGCAACAAAGACTTCAACAATTGAAGCTTTCGATACAATCCGGATCCAAACTATAGCATCTCTCATTGCA